GAGAGAGAGAGAGAGAGAGAGAGAGAGAGAGAGAGAGAGAAACACGCTGGAAGAGTGATGGAAAGGCAGCTATGGGTATCTAAGTGGCAGATCTTAACTCGACAAATGTCATTACTTCACTTATCTAGACATTGGGAAATGTATACATTAAAAAAAATATCCAAACAGTTAAGGTTTTGCCAGGAGACCCAAACAGATTTGGCATCTTTCACCCCCTGGGCTCACCCCTCCCGCGGCGGGAACCATAGCTCTCCCCTCTCCGGGACCCTGCCCGCGCCCCTTCGGGTGACCTCTCGGTGGAAGCTCGCCCGCGGGGGCTGGGTCTCGCCAATGCTCCCAGGGTGATGGGAAAGGGAAGAGAAGCTTAATTAGTTTCAATTTGCAGCAATTAGCGCGCCGGACCTTTGGGGAGAGGGGCAGGCGGGAAGGGGGGCTGCGCGGCGTGACTACGGCAGCTCACGGAGCAGAGAACCGCCGCCCCGCCAAGACGCCAGCGACCACGGGGGGCGCGGGCGCGCCTTGTTAGCAGGAGGTGGGGAGCTGGGTCCCTTGGCAGCCTTAGCGAAGGTGCAGACTCAGGCAGAGGTCAACAGTCCTGGGGTACCATGCCTGTCTGGGGAGGTGCCTGCTGCGCCCTGGGCACGCCCACGCGGTCCTGTGGTCCCCAGTTCCCGCCTGTCCAAAATCCCCGAGAGCGCACCCACGAGGGTCGCCAGCCCTAGCTGCTTCTTGGATTTGGTCTGTCCTGTGGGTCATCACCGCCTTATCCAGGTCTGGACTTGCCCGGGTGGATCTCCTAGGCAGGGACCCGATCTGGGGCATGGGAAGTGGCCACCAACTACCATTCCCACCACACACTCCTTTCCTAGGTTTCCTAAGGCCCGGTTGGAACTTTCTGGGGCCTTTCTCCAGATCTCGAGTTTACAACCCCTCAGAACTACACAGGCTTTCCCAGAGAAAGGCGTTTTCCTGGAGTGGACAAGGTAGCAGAGTGCAAGAGAAGCACGAGGGAAGGATTTATTTATTTATTTGTGGTCAATATCACTTTTCTGTCGATACCGGCTTTTTGTTTAGTAAGAAGGCTTCATCCCCCCCCCCCCCCCCCACTTCAGGCTGCCAGTTGGATGGTATACGAGAAACAGTACCATTCTTCCTGTTAATGAACTCCTTTTTAAGTCATTTTTTCTCATTTGACCCTTCCATGGAGCAGAAGCAAATTGCGTGAAATTACCTCCAAGGATTACATTTATTACTGGCCAATGAGAACCCCTCGCCTTGTTTTACAAACTCTTAATCCTATGTCATTCTGATGCCGCAAACAAGCCCGGGCCCGGGCCTCCTATTCTTTCAACTTTCCCCAGCTGGAGGGACCTCATTCTGCACTTAATATTCCCCATAAATATCACACGCTAAAGACCCCCTGACTTCCAGCAAGTCCACATTAAACATGTGACATGTCACGCATGACAAACTCTGAGTATCTTTTCAAAGCAGCATTAAAAGCAAAGAAACCAATTTTCTTCTCTTTCCAAACCTCCCCAAGTGCTGAATGATGGGATTGGAAAGAGCCACTGGAGCGTACTTAGGGGGATTTTATGAGATTTTCCAGAATGATTTAATCTTATTGTGAGCATTATTAATGAATGGCAACCCAATTTGGCCCCAATATCTGGGAACTCAGTCACAATACTGGGACCGGCTGACAATGCCCCCCCTCAATCTTAAGCAAACCTCTTCCACCACTGAGGAGGACATATGGAGGCCCAGGGAGTTCAGGAGAGTCAAATTCATGGCAGGACTGTCTCCCATCACATTCAGAACGGAACAGCCCAACACCTGTTTTCCCAAGGCCATTGTGGGGTGAGGGAGTGATTGGGAGCCCTGTAGGAGCCTCTGGAGGCAAGTTGGAGGGGAAGGGAAGTTGATTTGTTACATTTTCATACACGCTAGCCAGATCAGGAGGAGACTCCAAAGGCAAGAAGGGAGTACTTGGCATACTACTAGACATGTTCTGTCCCAGACTACCCATGGACTGGACTGTAGGCAGTAGTGAGGGCAGACATGTTAACTATGTGGTCACAAGAGTGGCAAAATGATCAATTAGGAGAGGAGAATGATTGTGGGAGAGAATCTCAGTATTAGGACAAAGGTACTGGTATTGGCCCCCATGGTTTTCCTTTTCCCCCATATAATCCCCACCCATTTGGGACAAATATTTGTTCTTGTTAGTTTTTGATTTATAATATCAATACTCAAAGCACCAGAAGGTCTGCTTAGCATGATTTGGAGTGCAGATACTTCTAGAATGGAAAAGAGACTGATGTTAGAGAAGAAGGAATTGCACATGGGCTAGCCCAACTTGTTTTTAGAAGAAAAAAGAAATGCGTATGAGCATGTCTATGTGTATACACAAAAGTGAGTGTGTCTCAATGAAGGGGGTCTTATATGGAGCCTAAAATGGTATTTTGGAACACAGAGTTCCCCAGAGCAACTGCATATTTAAATGACAAGCGGTAGCCCGGCTGGGGGTGGGGCTGGGGGAGAAGAAAACCCCACTACCTGAAGAGGAAAAAGCATTTTTCAAAAGAAAAAGTTATGTTGTCCCTGGACGTTATTAACGGTCCAGTTTGAAGTATACATTTTTTCCTTTAAAGAAAAGGGGGCGATTACCAGTTATACATTAAGAAATGTCATTCAGTCATTTTTATTCATTCTCCGGAAATCTTCGTAAAAGCCTGAATCATACTTGTACAAGCAGCAATTTTGTTAATCCAGGGGGTTATTACTCTGGGCCCTTATTAGGTTCTACACCACTGCCAAGCAATCCTATAACCCTCTCAAAAGAAGTTTACCTCCCTGTTATAAAACCAGTAGTGGTATTTATACTGTGCAATAATTAGTGTATTACTTGAATCCACTAACACGTTCATTTTATCTCTGCACAAAACCTCTAGTCTGCTTATAGAAAGCTTGTGCCTCCTTTGGTGCTGTTAAAGTGGTGAAAGAGTGAATTGAAGGCTGGTTGCACTTTCTCCTTTTGCCTCGCCTTAATTCCCATCTCTTTTTGCTCTCATCCAATTAGCACAGTGTATTAAGCGGTTTATCATCTCATAGTCAGCTATTGAGAGAAACAAGGCGAGCACTTTGCAATAGAACCTGCGCTCCTTTGACACCCTCAGGTACTTACATATTCCACTGCGCTATGAATAATAGAGGAAGAATGGAGCGCTAATTCCCTCATCAAAGAATGCCTTGTCTGCTGCTTTGCTCAACAACACCATTCTGATCAAAAGAAAAGCAATAAAGCTTAGCATAACAAAACGAAACCTACTTATTAGCTTAGTGGTTAAATTAATGCAGAGCCGCTGCTATTCAAAACCAAGGTTTGAAAACAGCCTCCAACAACCTGATAATGCTGCCTTCGGGATGAAGGAATTTTAATCTGAAATTTGAGGCTGGCTCAGATGAGTTAATCTATTAAACTGCTATAAGGAAGCTCTGCCACAAACTGTTCAATTAAGAAATATTTAGGTGAGGAGAAAGAGGAGAGAGGACAGAGGTGGGAGGAGAGGGAGAGGGGCGGAGGGGGAGGGAAGGAGAGAAAGAGAGAGGTAGATAGATAGATTTAAGTTTTGATCGGGAACATTGAGTAGCGTTGAAGTGAGGGGTCCAGGTTCCTGAAGAGAGAACTGGGGCTCGATGCTTTTCAGAAAACCCCGACACAGATGTAAATCTGTTTTTAGAGTTTCCTTGTCTTTGTATCTTGCCAAACTCACATTAAACAGTATGTTTCCAAGTATCTCAGGGTGCTCACTGGTGGCAAGGGCTGGAGAAGTAGTGGGAAAAGGCACCTGACTCATTCTCTTTCCTCATCCTGAACCCCAGTCTGTAAACCCTGATCAACTCCCCACAGTCTGGGCAACTGTCACATAATTGATTTTAACCATATTTTATTGGACAGATTAGAATATTTTTGAGCATTCTCTGTGCATTTTCAACTTCTGGCCTTCCTTATAACCTTTGTATGTAGGACAGTTGAAAGACAGCAAGCTTGGTCCAAGGGAAGCTTGTGTAAGGATCTGCAGCAGGTCCAACGTAGTTCCTAAATTAAACTGAAAAAGTGCTACATTCTGAGTAGAGGCCCTGAGCAGAGCGGGACCCTTTAGGGTACCATTTCCCAACTAATTCCAGTGGCTTTAGCCCAGAGGTTTAATAGTCTTTAAAAACAAAAACAAACAGACAAACCAAACCAAACCAAAACAACAAAAACGGGGCAGGAGAGATGGCTCCGTGGTTAAGAGCATTAGCTCTTCTTCCAGAGGACCTGGGTTCAATTTTCAGTACCCACATAGCAGCTCACTGCTGTCTGTAACTCCAGTTCCAGGGTACCCGACACCCTCACGCAGGCAAAACACCAATGCACACAAATTAAAAAAAAAAGCAAGCAAGCAAACAAACAAACAAACAAAAAAAAAAACCCCAAAATACCAACTGCCAGCCAGGTGTGGTGGCTCATGACTTGAATCCAAGCAGAGGCAGATGAATCTGAGTTTGTGGCCAGCCTGGTCTTCACCAGTGAGTTCCAGGACATCCAGGGCTATGCAGAGAAACCCTGTCTTGAAAAGCTAAAATAAACAAAAATTTAAAAAGTTGTCAAGGCTTAGAGAATGGAAAGCATTTATTAAATCTTTGGATCCCTGGCTTCTCTGGAACACTAGATCATGGGGCCCACAGTGGGCCCTGCCCCTCTCAGCGTCACTACTGCCCCCTGTAGACTGTCCCTGATATTCCCTAGTGTGTACAGTTTGCTCTATTCATGCTTTCAGCATTCGAACTGAAGGCTGGTGCCAGGGAGCCCATGGAGACAGAGATGGGCGGTGTTTCTGAACCAGTTCTACCCAGTGTGCCATCAATCAAGGCATGTCAAGGACTAGAGACCCTCCTGAGGAAAGCGAGTGGGCAATATTCCTACCTTCCAACAAGTATCCACTGTAATTCTTCAACTTGCAGGTCCAACTTTCCATAAAACTCTGGAATCCTTCAGGTACCTGCAGTCAAAGCCTACATTAGGTAAGAGATCCTAGTAAGAAAATGCCATCTGCTGCCATTGGCTATTCTCTGCAAGTGTACTTCAAAATGTTTGGTTTTTTTTCCCCCCGAGACAGGGTTTCTCTGTGTAGCTTTGTGCCTTTCCTGGAACTCACTTGGTAGCCCAGGCTGGCCTCGAACTCACAAAGATCCGCCTGCCTCTGCCTCCCGAGTGCTGGGATTAAAGGCGTGCGCCACCACCGCCCGGTGTCAAAATGGTTTTTATTTACATTTAGTTTGTCTTTAGAGAAAGAGTCCCTAGGTGTTGTGAAACTTTCTATGTAGACTAAGCTGGACTTGAATTTTTGGCAAACTCTATGGCCACCTCTAGAGTGCTGGGTTACAGGTATGTGCCATCACTACTTGCCAAAATGTCTGATTTTCTATAGACTTTATATAGAAATGGTCCCTGTCCATAGAATGATTACAGACACAAGAAATAAAGTAATAGGTTGAGTCTTTCATGGTTTCTCGAAGACCAAGTTAAGGATTATTTTATTTATATTGAATATAATCACAGGCTCCGGAAATCAAGGAAAATATACCTTCTTTTCAGAAAGCCGAGTGAAGGCATTAGCTCCACACACACACACACACACACACACACACACAGTGCTGCTTTAATATAGTAGCAATTATCAGAAGCTGACCAGGAGTGACAAGAGCACATGAATCCCTTTGTTTCCCAAAGCAACTTGCCTGCTCTAACTTGTGACCGGCCGTATCGCTTTTAGTGCCAATTAACTGTCAGGGCCCCAAACCTAGTGCTTCTACTTGAATTCTGAGTGGAAGAGAAAGAGAAGAGGAGAAAGAGGAGCCGCTTAAGAGCCTGAAGAGGAGAGGAGGGAGAGAAAAGAGATGGCAAAAACCAGACAAAAGAAGACTTTTGAACAAGTATTTCTTTACATCCACTGCTTACCAAGTATTTCTTCTCTAGGAGGCCTCTATGTACAATGCCTCTCTCCCAGGAGTCATCAGCGTGTCTCTCGGTTTAGCGTCCCTCCACCTTCTGCCTTCTCTCCCTTTCTGGATCAAGAATCAATAACCCTAGTCCTCTCCGTGCTTAATATACTGAAGGACTCAATGCTTCGACTATACAGATAGCTTGCTCAGCATATTTGAACTGGGTTCTGACTCAGGTTGCTCTGAAAGAAAGCGGGCCAAGGTTTGGGAAGGGCATGGTCTTCAATCAAGCTTTTATTCCTTGCTGTCAACTTGAAACTGCACCCAATTAAAACAAATCACTACAACTGGTTTCCCTTTAGAAAACTTTATTCTGAAGTACAAAACACAATGCATTTTCCCTTCTAAAAACAACCCACATAGGTAAGTATTCTAATGCTGCCATATTGAAATCGTTTATCGATGGCAAGGAGAATGCCATTCTGAAGAATGGATGGGACATAGCAAGCACCAGGTCCCAGGTCCTGCTAGCTGCCTCCCATTCTTCTGAATGTAACAGAGTGATCCACACCACAATCTCCCCAGGGGTTTTGTGAAATGTTAGGGTAAAGTATCCAAAATGTGCTTTCCCGTTGTATAAACCTTCACTCTCAACATTCTACATAAAGGGAAAACATAAAGAATGGGAGTATGAAACACCTGCTCAGTGTTGGACTTTGAACAATTCAATGAACATGTGTGCTTTGTATAGTCTATTTAATAAGTGCAAAATTCCTACCCCCCACCCCCACACCACTTATGTGAAAGGCAGCACTGAAAACAGTCATGCTTGCAACTAGTAGCTGAACAAGTATTTGGATATAGACTGTGTTTAATTGACACGTGAAGAAGCAAAATGTTAGAACTCCCACTAGTCTCCACAACTCTTTTTAGGGGTGTCCCTGCTACAGCCTCAGCGCAAACTGAAGGTCACTTAGGTCTCTTAAAGTAGCAATTTCTGCCCTGCAGAAACCCAGTCCCCAATAAGATAGGTCTTCAGGTACTTGGCAAAGAGTTCGGTGGCACAGTGTGCTACGAAGACTGTTTGGCAGGTTAAATATTTTTACACTTCCATCCTGGTCCACATCGACACGAACACAACATGCAATCCTCGAAAGAAAAGCAAGATACTGGCGAAGCAGTAAAGGCAAGCGGAGCGCTCAGAAGCTGAGATTCGGCCAGCTGGCCTTCTTGCTTGCTCCTGGGTCTCTCAGTACTTCCCAGTATAATTGGCGAAGAGCTTGCTGAGGTTCACTTCAGAGTAGCCACTCCAGGACAAGAACTGCTCTGCTATGTTCTTGACTTTTCTGTAGTCCTGAAGAACTTTGGGGGTAAAGAACTGCTTCTTCAATTTATCTAAAGTGAAATAAAAAGAAAAGGATAGTTTATAAAAGGACAGTCAGTTTCTTCAAAGAACCACACTATTTCTTTCCAGAGAAGGGGTGCAGGTTTTGATTGCAGTTCCATGTCTCTGATGTCCTAATGGGCCTGTCTGTGTTCTTTCTACCCTGGGGACAGTTCAAAGCCAGAGGTATCTCAGCATACTCTGGGAAAGCCTAAGTTGGCTCTTTTCAGGAGGACAAACCAGGTCAGGCCACCTCTACTGATGCGAACTGCAGCTGTATGCCCGTGCACAGTAGGCAAGATGAGTGCCACTCCGAGACACTAGTTTTGCTGTGCTGTTGAGCAGATGCCCGCACTGCAGTAGGAATCTGGACGCAGAAGGAAGCTATCTTCCCTAGTGTCTCCCAAACCACACTGCCCCAGCTAGCTGGCCTCCACAGTTTCTTCTAACCCCCCACCTGCCCATTTTGTTAAACGAAACCTTTAGTGAAAGGAGGACAGCTACCTGGAGGTCGGTCCACCTGTCCTTTGCCAAGCTTTCTTTTTGTCCACCATGTGAGAACTCAGACTCAGCACCCCCACCTGTGTTCCCAGCTCTTTTTATCGATCCATTCCTGCCCTTCCTATTCTGAATCATTCCCTTCCCCTAGTCTCCCTTCCACAGTGTCTGCTACTTCTGTACTTGGTTTTTTGAAAGGGGCAGCAGAGCTGCTATGTTCAGGTCTAATTTGTGGGGGGAACTCATCCCTTCCCTGAATGGTCTTTGTTCGAAGCTGCTCAGGAACTCCATGAGACGTTTTGGAAAGTTTATAGCTGAGGAAACTGAGTAAGGTCACAAAACATGTCCTAGAGACACAGATCTGGAAATTCAGGTAGCCAGAAGCGCCAACCAATAGCTGTAGAAAGTCACTTTTGTGGCCTCTCTTATGCCACTGCTTGTTGTTCAAGGTTGCTGGCAAGGCCTAGAAGTCGGCTATTCCCAAGGTAGGGACTCAGATACTGCCTGTGCCAAGGTGCTGGGGGTGGGGGTGAGGATGGGGAACAAAGCTTCCCAGCTCCTTGGCATAGGAAGGGACCAGGAAGAACAGATGTGGGAGCACATCCATCACAGAAAGCAAAATCCTGCTTAAACAACAGATAGACAATAAAGGCCACAAAACCCTGGAAAATGAAAACTCAGCCTCAAGATTTTTGTTCCTGAGCTACACATTCATATTTGTTCACAACCTTTTCTAAGTTACACCAATGCGTCTCCACAAAACAATCATAAGAAGTTTTGTTGAGGATTTAAATGCCCAAAAAGGGTAGAAAAAGAAGCAGGGGAAGGGGGACACATCGTTAACTGACTATACAAAGACAATTTGAAAGTTCTAATTATCGGAGTCTGGCAATATACAACAAAGGCCCCAACCAATGTGCCTGCTTCCTGGCAGGCCAGAACCACAGGCCTGCAACCCTGTGCATGTGAATGACACAAATGCATCTGATGACTGGGGAGAGCACATTTAAAGAGCTGTGGTAATACAGAGCAGGGGAGGAAGAGAGAGGACAGAGCTCCTGATGTGTTTACCTCCTCTGCTGATGGGATATTGACTTTTCCCACTAGGTTGGTTAGAAAGGGGACTATTTACGCTGCCACACAGCAGAGTTAGAATGACAACCAGCGTCACTGGGCTCGCTTCTTCGTAAAAGACAACTGTGACCGCCAGCATATCCCATAGCTGGTCAATACAGCCCAAGCACCGTTTCCTGGCAGTCAGAGATGCAGATAAAAGCTCCCACTTGCTTCCCCAATGAGAGCTTAATCAATAGCATATGGAAGGTCTTTTAGGAAACAGAACTGGATGAGCTGTCAGGCCATACCACAGGAGCTTGGAGGGCAAGGAGTCACTTGTTCAGTTTTCCTCTTCCTTCTTTGGGCACTGGGGCCATCCATGTTAGACATCACATTAAATTGTTACCCTGTTTCTGTCAATCCTACACCTACCACTTCAGAACTTAAGAGAAAATACAGATGTTAAATAGTGAAAGTCAGTTAACGTGGTCAGTAAACTGCTGCCTCCTTTTGCTGTTCTAGTTTTTGAATGCAGTCCACCGGTAACAACATCATCCCAAGGGCAGCTGTGGTCAAAACTTAGGACAACACTGCTAAAATCTTTTAAGAGGCCAGTCAACAAGAGGCAGACACATGCAACAATGTCACCTGGCTCTACCAGATACCACTAATTGTGGCTCTTGCTCCACAAATCCAAACTTCAAACATAACAGCAAAATATAATCTAATGACCTAAAATATTAGCTAGAACTCACTCATCCTTATCCACAAGCACAATAAACCTCTTTCCCTTAGTTTTCTTGTTAATACTCTTTGAGGAACATGTATTTAGTGCTTATTTCCTCTGGTCTTTTCTACATGAAGAGACTGCTCATAGTCATACAGTAATTGTCAGAAAATATCCTCATCCCAATCCCTAAGAAAACAAGGTCAAAAAGTTAGCCTGGGTAATGATTCTCATTTATATACATATTTATACACACACACATATATATGTATGTGTGTATATGTATGTATACACACACACACACACACACACACACACACACACACACACACATATATATATATTCGAGACAGGGTTTCTCTGTGTAGTCATGGCTGTCCTGGAACTCACTCTGTAGACCAGACTGGCCTCAAACTCAGAGATCCACCTGCCTCTGCCTCATGCTGGGATTAAAGGCCTGCTCCACCACTGCCTGGTTTGATTCTACAAATATTTTATTAGACAAAACAACAGACTACTAATATGAAAGTTTATTTCTATTAACTAGAATACAAAATTATCCAAGTTACAATGTTTTTGATAGAAAACAAGCTAGATCATCTGAAGACTGACCTGTCTTCTAGGTTTTGTTAAAAGTCATCTGATTAAATGAAATGCTTGCACTATTTGAAAAAACAAAACAAACAGGAGTCATCTCAAAGGAAACTTATTCCTATGTTACATATTTCAGTTCAATGTCAGTAAAGCAAACATCCTTTTCCTCTTTATAAAACCATTTTTGGTCTTAAACACACTGAACTAGGAACCATGAGGCAAAGACATTTTAAAACCTCGCCTACTGGTTATTTTATTTTAATTAAGGCAGGCTTAGGCACACAGGCAGCAGCCGTCTCTGTTCTGAATGTCTGTTTCATTTATTTCTGTGCAAAGGTATCAAACAACAGTCAGTTATAATTGATTCTGTCAGGTGTTATACAGTCAGTCATAATTGTCTCTGTGTAGAGGTGTGTCAATTTACTATATCTGAATTAAATATTCTGTCAATTATGAAATCAGGTAATAATTTCAGTCAGTTTTTTAATTGCATGGCTTCCCACCATAAGGTTCTCAGCTCTCCCACCTTTTCTAATCCATATCCTCCCTCCCTCAATGTGAGTGTTTGCCTTCAGGTGTGAAATGCAGGAGACTTGAGGGGTTTGGAGGCAACCTGCAGGTTTTGGCACTCTCTGTCATTCACGGCCATGGGAGCGACACAGAGCTGCTGGGCCAGCTAGCCTCACTGCCTTTCTCCTACCAACCCACAGCAGAGGGCATGGCAAAGCATAGTTGTCTGCAAGGTCTCACAGAACACCCAGAGTTCAAAGAGAAAGACAGTTGGGGCCCCGAGTCTAAATGCATCTCTTAAAGCAAGAAATTAAAACATGTAATCTTTGAGTAAATCCTTGTCTAGAGAAAAAAATTAGAAGACACAGTGCCAGGCACACACGGCATGCAATGTATTTATCCACCACCCAATGCCTGGAGGGCCATTCTTGTCTGAGAAATCATTTCCTAGATACTAAAATATTTCTGAAGGCTGAAGAGTCTGTTAGTCCATTATTCATTTCTACTCCTACTTATAAACAATTATCTTCAGTTTTCTTTTTCTTCTTTTTTGTTGATACCAAAATACAGCCTTCAAACAGTATAAAATGTCCATGGTTCAGCTCAAGTGCTCTACTAGACTGATTTGACAAGTATTTAGAAGTGTGATTATAATTCTCCCCACTATTGGTCTGGTTCATGTTCAATAAATACAGGCTTGCTGCAGCCTGGTGGTGGTGAACAGTGACCCTTCCCACTTGAAGCAAATGGAGGTGCAATGGGGCCCCACCACCAAGAAGGGCTGGCCAGTGGAAGTTTGGAAAAGAGCAGAGGGTGATATAAGGAGGGAGGAGACAGGGCGAGGCGATGTAAAGAATGCCATGTCTACAGAGAAAAAATAGAAAGTGAGAGTCGTGCCCCTTACCATGTTTCAGTGGAGAAAGAGTCACCTTGAAAGAGATCAAAAATTTCCTTTCAACTAGATGAAGTGATTCTATCAGGGCTGGGTTTTGGGTGTTTGTATTTGTCATGTCGGAAGAAAATTGCCCATGCAGCCCCCTTGCTGAGGTTATAAAAAGTACTGTCAACCATACTGGACAGAAATTTTTTTGGAGGGGGGGTGCAGAGAAGGGAAAAACACATTGTGCAGGATCATTAAGCACTGTTGTATAAATAAAGTTAGAAGATCAAACGAAAGAGGGGACTCGGGTTAAATGCTGGAAGACAAGCTTAAATAAAGTTCTAAGAAAAAAGCAAGGCACGCTGTAATTCCAAGAACCTATTACTTCAGACAATTTACTTCAAAAAATAAAATCAGAATGGTAAATGATTACCCAAAAGCAATCATGTCATCATCACTGAGAGATGGAATAAAATAATTTTTTGTGAAGTGGCTGAATGAGAGCAACTTAAAAGCCACGGAGCCTGTCAGAAGCACATTATTTCTTTTTACACCCCGTTTCCCAATTCATCTCAGTGCTGCTGACTAACCTCGGCTCCCAGCAGGTGGAGCATTTAAAATAAATAGCATTTCCTACAAAACGCGCTCCAACTGCCCCATGACAGACGCTTCCAATTCCCGGCCAGCCACTGGATCAGCTTCAGCGGTATCTAACAAGGTGTAAATACAATAACAAGCATGTAATT